GGGTTGTCAAACTCCAAAAAGCATCATGAGGGTGAGTAAATGATGAAAGAATTGTCATTTTTAGGTCTTTACTAGGCCTTTAAGGATCTAGTTTTGAATGGTGATAGATCATGTTAGATCAGACAGCATTATAGACGAAGGAAAACATATTTCACAAAGGGGGCACACAAGGCAACCTCCAGCCACAGGCTCCCTACCTCTGAATAGGCCTGCTACAGTGGAGGGCTCAGACTGGAAGGGAGAGGGGTTTGGGAGATGCTGGACCATAGACGGTTGACCAAACGAGTCTGACAGGCAGGCGGGGAGAAACGACACAGCAAGCATTACAGACATAAAGACATTATAGATTCAAATTGGATTAGTAAAGAGCGTATTTAAATAGAAATATTAAGACAAAGCCATGTGCAGAAGGCAAACATCATCCAGCAGGGATGATCACAGGATAGTCCCTGTACACTGCTGTAGTGCCTCTATGTTTCCTGACAGAGGGGAAACATAGGTGGGATGGTTTGCCATCATGGTACCTGAGATTAAGTGCTCTATCCGAACAGTGCGTTTGTAATTGGTTGATACAGATGAACTTGAATCAATAAAGGGATTGTACTGATCTATGGTAAAAAAGGAAAAACAATCATTCACTTATAGCTAAAGCAAAAGTAGACTGAGGTGAAAACTGAAATGAAATATGATTTTCTAACAAACTTTTCTTGTTTCAGAATCAAGTAACGTCTATTTTTATGAATAATATATATTATGATTAGGGCTGTCAGATGATTCAAATATTTAATTGCAATTATTGTCCTTATGACAGGGTTCCACTCATGGGTGATATTTCACTAGTTGACCTTCGACAAATATTAAATTTCACCATACAAAGACTGAAAAAAGTGCATTAAATATTTCATTTTTAATATTTAAGAAATCACATGATTAATGCATCACCTTTGATAGCCCTACTTTTATATATACTACCATTCAAAAGTCTGGGTTCAGGGTTTTTTTCTTGGAAATAATTTATAACTTTTATTCAGCAAGGATATGTTAAATTGATCAAAGGTTACAGTAAAGGCATATTTTTTTTAATTGTATTTCAGTATATGCTGTTCTTTTGAACTTTCTATTCATCAAATAATCCTTAAAAAAACTCACGGTTTCCACAGACATTAAGCAGCTCAGCTGTTTTTGACATTGATAATAATAATAATGTGTTGCTAGTGCACCAAATCAGTAGCCTGACGTCGTCATACTCAGATTCTAGTCAGAATGTGAGTCTGATACTGCTCCACTGGGCTGTGATTATGGGGCGTGTTTCAACTGAACCAGGAAAGAAAATGCCTCTGCACTCAATTGGATCGACAAATGCCTTGATCGCGATTCTCTGTTCCTCTTTTAAAATGAATGCGCTGTCTACATCTTCTATAACAGACGCGGTGGCTGAATCGACACATCTAAATTCTCCAGCGGCAGTCATTCTTTGTTGTAAATGAATTCAACCCAAGCGCTCTTTGGTGACATTGATGATTACGTTACGGTTGATCATCTGTCCATCAACGTATAAAGCCCGCCCTGACAATTTGATTGGTCCGAACAGCTTTGGTTCGGGCATACTTGCTTCACAACAGATCCGACAGTTCAGACCAAACTTCCCATCCTCAAATATTGTGGGCGGGGTTAAGTTTGGCTGGCATCCAGTCTACCAAATCAGCATATTAGAATGATTCTGACGATCATGTGACCTTGGTGAGCGTAAGAGACTTCTTTCAAATACATTAAAAAAATCTTACTAACCCCAAACTTTTGCATAGTAGTGTATGTAACCTATTGTTTCTTTAAAGTTAGATGTTGGAAGTTGGGCAAAGTAATCTATTCAGTATGTAGTCTGCATCTTGCTTTTAACAAGCATTTAACATGCTTTTTTTAGGAGGGGGGGGGGGGGGGGTCTCACACTACCTACACCAACTTTAATTTCAGCTACCGAGATAAAACCTGTAATTAATTAAACAGCCCTATTTGAACAGAGCCAAAACAAAGCTCTGTGTCTACAATTACAGACTGCATTCTTACTCCGACGTCGAGTTCAACTGGACAGAACTTAATCAGAGGATTCCTGATTTGACACAACAGGATACTGTGCATGCGAAACGAGGGACTTTTAGCGACCAAAAAACTCAAACTAATAAAACACTTTGGATGGGTGGGTTGAAAGAAAGAAACTAAGGCATGTTTACCACCAAAAATCTCATGACCTGATGTCCTAGAGGAGAAACTAACACCATCTGATGACATAACGGGTAGATGAGCACCATCAACAACAACTTTGGTTAGGAAAGGGTTTAGGTTTGGAATGGAGTCATCTACAGCTTCAGAAGAAGAGAAAGGATCTGAGCAGGCAAAAGGAGAGAGAAAGAGTCGAATAGAAGGACATTAGGACGAGACTCAAGTTAACAGAGAAGACTACAGCATGCTGAATCTCTGACATGCAGTCACATGCAAAGGATCTCACCTCCCCATGCCGTGGCCACAGAGGGTCCAGGCTGCATGCCCGCCTGAAAGTTAGTCTGCATATTGAAGAGGTCGCTCTCCATCTTCAGAGCACTGAGTAACACAAAACAAAAACGGCAATTTAACCAAGAGAGTTACAGGTAGATGTATAAAGGGTACGTTTACACGACAACGATGTACTAAAAACGGAAAAGTTTGCGTCCTTTGCGTTTTTGAAACGTCTCGCGTCCAGACGACAATATTGTCTAAATGATACCCATTTACACAGATCTGCGGAAAAAAAAAGGAAATGCCAGGCCAGTAGTTGGCCTTGATGTCACTTTGTAAAGAAACTACTTGTCTGTGCACATACGCATTCTTCTACAGTGATCTCGTAATACAGATATGATATCACCGTTTTCACAATTTTGCGATTTTGTAGTTTACACAGAGACAATAACGGTATTATTTTCAAAAACTTGCACTTTGAATTGAAACACGTTTTTAAGTTTGCGTTTTCAGGCCCCCAAATCGACCTTGTCAAGTAAATGATGTCATGTAAACACCACCTAAGATACAGGTGTTTGTGCTGAAATTCGCCACACAAATTTGCTGCAACCATTTAGTGAATTTGCCCCTGGTCGAGCACAAACCATGCTTGTTTTTATATCTCAAGCCATACAGAAAAATATCTAGAGAATCACACTGGCTAACCCATTGGAGCAGCTGGGAGTGGAGAACAGGTCTATGGCAGGAGCTGTGCTGATGCATGCTGCTGTGGTGGAGACTGGAGAAGTGTCTGTCGTACCAAACGAAGGCCTCTTGGAGAGCTCCTTCAGCCTCTGTTCCTGATTACAAAGAGCACAAGCCAAGAAACCTTTTAGACAGGAAGGAGCCATCTCATTGGCATGTAGAATGACCAACCAACCACTTTTCATTCATTAGTGTGATGCTTAGGGTTGGATAATTTTGAAATCTGTGATAACAAGCAATTGTTAAAACAATTATCTGAATCCTTTTTTTTTTTTTTTTTTTTTTTGCATTAATGCAAAACATCCTCATGTCGTTCCTAACCAATAAGACTTTCATTCATCTTCGGAACACAAATGCAGATCTTTTTTGATGAAATCTGAGAGCTTTCTGTCCCTCCATTGACAGCTACGCAACTATCACTTTGACGCTTAAAAAAGTTCATAAAGAGATTGTAAAACTAATCCATATAAATTGAGTGGTTTAGTCCAAATTTTCTGAAGAGACAAGATCGCTTTAAATGATAAACAGATTGAATTTAGGCTTTTATATAGACATTCAGCAACTCACACACCAGTTGTGGTTACCAGAAGCTCAAGTATTTAAATTTTTGGGTGAACTATCCCTTTAAAAAAAAAAAAAATTGTCATACTTTGTCCCTTTAAGTGCAAAGATTTATGCTGAAACTGTCCAAAACGCTGTATTAACAGTTTTTTACTGTTTTATAAATGTAGACAGTCCTTTGCAAATTACAGCATTTTTAGAAAATATCAACTATTATCAACTATTAGCCAGAGATTTACTGTAAATTCACACACACACAAAATGACGTGAGTTGCATATATAACTAGAAAACAGCAATCCATAATTAACAGAACACACACAAAGAAAAAATACTGGAAATCCTTTTCCCCGGTGGGTGAAATTATTTTTGAAATGGGTCCTGTTGTGTACCTTTAGTGCTTTCAATCGCGCCTGCTCCTCCTCCAGAGCTGCCTGCTTTTCCCTTTCATCCACTTTGGTGAAAGACATGCCAGTGTTGGCCAGAGATGACACAGCATTGGAGAGTGTGCTTGCCCTACAAAAGTCGGGGAGAGATAAATTGAGTTTCTGCGAGTATGAGAGAAAATCACACTTGTAGTATATTGAACTACTGCATTTGTCAAGCACGCCGCTCTTATAGGTATAAATCTATCAAGAGATTCAAGACCCATCAACACAATGCATCTGTTAGCACTCATTCATTTGTATTCAGCTCTGAGCGTGACACATGAATGGCCCACCTGCTGGCGGCAGTGGAGTCCTTCACCTTCTTCCCTTCTAATGAAGCCAAGTGTTGCTCCAGGGCATCCAAAAGACTGCTGGGGGCCTAAGGGAATGCACAAACATTTACTCAAGAATAACCACCAATGAAAAGACAAAATAGCTTGACATTTATAGGCAATAAGAATTAAAAGGTGCAGAGGAGTGCAGAAAAGAGTGAGAAAAGTACTTACACACACTGTAAACTGAAGATGGACAGAAGGTGGAAAGATAAAGGGAAATACAGAATATAAAGGTGGTCTTGGTCAGACATAATGCATGAGTTTCAAAGCAGCTACCTGCCCTTATTTATGGCTATGATGTCATTTGCGCTAGATATATAATCTGTCCTTTTCAAGTGTCTGTTTAATTCATTCATGACTTATTCCTGAATGTTACTGTATATAACAACCCGTTCTCACTCCCAAGGCGTCAAATACTGTTGCTTGGGCAAAAGCCCTGCATGTCACAATGTAGATGCCAATAGTGAATAAACATTACTATCATCATTATCAATTTTTTTGCTAGCTGAAATATGTCCATGCTGTAAATTATACTGTATATAATTGAGTGAGAACCCGTTGCATATACTCTGAGTCAATATACTTATAATAGAATCATGACTCCCACAGTTATCTCTATAATTGCTATTCTCAAATCTCCACTGAGCCCATAACACCTTTATTTGCTGTAGACAGGGAAAAGTTAAGACAGAAAAGGTAAGAAATCTTTAGTGACATGCGCATCCTAATGAGCTGCATGCTTCTTTAAGTCGGAAATGCATTTGTGTAAGGTTAAGTAAAAAAAAGCAGAACAGCTTCAGAAAACACTCAGGATCGTTAATAATGCAGAAAGAGTGCAGGTGTTAAAGTCAGAATAAAAGTGCGGTCTTACCTGAGACAGGTCAGGTATGTCCCCACGGTCTATTCCCACCTGCTGTGAGGCGAGCAGAACAAATATGTTACATAACGCTCTTTTAATGAAGTACCTTGCCTCCAGAACAACACATGCGAATCTCACCTCTGCCACTTTGAGGAACTCTGAGATCCTGGTCATTCGGGTAAGGAATTTCTTGTAGATGTCCAAACCCTCTTTACACTGTACTTTTTTCATATCAAAGTACTTTTCTGTGAAAGGAAGATAAAGAAGCACCCATTACCAATCAGCACTATGCCGGTATTTGCATGTGTAGAAATGAAAATAGATCACACGGGTTATGTCACTTTTTTTCATATCAATTTAATCTGCAAATAGGATGAAAAAATTGCTACTGAATTTGACTTATTTTTAGACAGGGGGAAGTACAGGAAAAGGGAGGATATGCAATCAGGGCATGATGCAGGCTGAATCTGAACCTGCGTAACTGTAAGTACAACTTCTTGTGAGCATGTGCACTACTGCACCACAACTTTTTGTTAAATTTTAAGAGCTTACACATTCAAATCTTTCATGTACATCTTGCATTTAAAAGTAAAATGAGTGTATTTATACAATATGTGGTTTATTTATTTAGTATTGAGAAGAAAGCACCATGAAGAACCTACCCAATAAGTTTATTATCCCTTCATTGTAAGCTGCAAAAAGTCGGATGGAGTCTTTGAAAAGAAGCATGAAGGCTGCATTAATAACCCCATTGGTAAGTTCATTGGCATTGACCTGGGCAAACAGAAAAATGTATTCTCATAAACATGCCACATAAATGCTTTGCTGCTACAAAGAAAATATTAATGGCATAAATTCATAAGCCCCTTTCAGACATACAGTTTTTACTGGTAAATTACCGTTAGGAGTTCATTGTCACGGATGGGTGTGTAGATAGGAAGCACAAGGAGACGAGGAAATAACTATGAACAGGAATTTAATGAACAAGGCACTCAGGAGATGCACACATACCATAAGAACGTAACATATACAATAACCGACCAGGAGTGAGGGAGAACACTGGGTTTACATACACAGGGAATGGGTCATGGCAACAAGAAACAGCTGGGGCAAATTAACTAGACACAGGTGGAGGAACTGAACACAAACGAGGAGCGGGAAAACTGAGACACAGGACTAAACCAAAACACAGAGACGGGGAAAACTAAGAAACACAGGTCATACTTGTGACATTACCCCCCCCTCCAAAAAAGGCGCGTCCTCGCGCTGTACAAAATCCAAAGGGGTGGGAGGGTGGGCGCCCTGGAGGCTGACGAGGGTATAGTTCCACGGGAATAGAAAGCCTCCAGGGCGGACTAGGCTGTGGGTCTTGCCAAGGGGGAGCTGGACATGGACGTGGGCGTGGCCAAGGCGGAGCTGGATGTGGGCGTGGCCAAGGCGGAGCTCTCGGGTAACCGGGAGTCCAAGGTGGAGATGGACGAGGGCGTGACCACGGCGGAGCTTTCGGAACCTCTGGAGTCCAAGGCGGAGCTGGACGAGGGCGTGACCACGGCGGAGCTTTCGGAACCTCTGGAGTCCAAGGCGGAGCTGGACGAGGGCGTGACCACGGGGAAGCTTTCGGAACCTCTGGAATGCAAGGCGGAGCTTGACGTGGCCAAGGTGGAGCTTGATGTGGCTGTGACCACGGCGGAGCTTTTGGGACCTCGGGAGTCCAGGGTGGATCTATCCCTTCAGGTGACCATGGCAGTGCTGCCCCTTCGGGTGGCCATGGTGAAGGCGTATAGCCCCCCCCCAAAATTTTCTTGGGGAGAAGAACGGGTTTCAGCTCAGGCTCAGGAACAGTCTCTGGCTGGATGGCGGTCTCTGGCTGGACGGCGGTCTCTGGCTGGACGGCGGTCTCTGGCTGGACGGCGGTCTCTGGCTGGACGGCGGTCTCTGGCTGGACGGCGGTCTCTGGCTGGACGGCGGTCTCTGGCTGGACTTCGACGGGACGAGGTTTACTTGACTCGGCGGGACGAGACTCTGGAGGGCTGGTCTCGGCGGGACGAGACTCTGGAGGGCTGGTCTCGGCGGGACGAGACTCTGGAGGGCTGGTCTCGGCGGGACGAGACTCTGGAGGGCTGGTCTCGGCGGGACGAGACTCTGGAGGGCTGGTCTCGGCGGGACGAGACTCTGGAGGGCTGGTCTCGGCGGGACGAGACTCTGGAGGGCTGGTCTCGGCGGGACGAGACTCTGGAGGGCTGGTCTCGGCGGGACGAGACTCTGGAGGGCTGGTCTCGGCGGGACGAGACTCTGGAGGGCTGGTCTCGGCGGGACGAGACTCTGGAGGGCTGGTCTCGGCGGGACGAGACTCTGGAGGGCTGGTCTCGGCGGGACGAGACTCTGGAGGGCTGGTCTCGGCGGGACGAGACTCTGGAGGGCTGGTCTCGGCGGGACGAGACTCTGGAGGGCTGGTCTCGGCGGGACGAGACTCTGGAGGGCTGGTCTCGGCGGGACGAGACTCTGGAGGGCTGGTCTCGGCGGGACGAGACTCTGGAGGGCTGGTCTCGGCGGGACGAGACTCTGGAGGGCTGGTCTCGGCGGGACGAGACTCTGGAGGGCTGGTCTCGGCGGGACGAGACTCTGGAGGGCTGGTCTCGGCGGGACGTGACTCTGGAGGGCTGGTCTCGGCGGGGCGTGACTCTGGGATGATGGCCCACTTGGCAGCACGTATAGACATCAGCGGGGGTTCGGACACGCTGGAAATCATCCCTGGATGGCCATAAACGGATCCGGTGTCTGACCTGACAGTTGACACAAGTGCGGCGTTCAGATTCTCAGGCTGGGCGGGCGAGATGTGCACTGGCTCTGGATGGGTGGTTTCCTCTCCGTGAGTGTCGCAGGGCCCGACGGTAAATGGCGACCCATTATGGAGAAGCACCCACTCGACGAAAGTCTCAAAGTTCTCTCGAGGTCCCAAACCGGGTAGGTGTGCCTTAGTCTCTGCATTTAGGCCAGTGTGGAAGAAAACACTCAATGAGCGATCGGGGAAAGAGCTAAGGCATGCCAGGTCGAGATAAGCCGTGGTGTGAGCCTCGAGAGATTGCTGGCCTTGTTCCAGCAACATCAGCTGCATCGAAGCATTCATCGTTGATTTTGGGTCGGTTATTCTGTCACGGATGGGTGTGTAGATAGGAAGCACAAGGAGACGAGGAAATAACTATGAACAGGAATTTAATGAACAAGGCACTCAGGAGATGCACACATACCATAAGAACGTAACATATACAATAACCGACCAGGAGTGAGGGAGAACACTGGGTTTACATACACAGGGAATGGGTCATGGCAACAAGACACAGCTGGGGCAAATTAACTAGACACAGGTGGAGGAACTGAACACAAACGAGGAGCGGGAAAACTGAGACACAGGACTAAACCAAAACACAGAGACGGGGAAAACTAAGAAACACAGGTCATACTTGTGACATTCATGTGTGATCAGGACCTTTTCAAAAACACCAGTAAATTGGTTCTGGCAATTTACCCATATGAGAATTTGTAATATTACCAGTAAATTACTGGTATGATGCTGTGTGTGAAGTAACCGGTATGAGCATGTACAAGGTCAGAACGTGCTGATGTAAGAAGTTTGCTTTGGGCCAATCATAAAGCTCTGTTGGAGCTGTTTACGTTAAGTTACGTGCCTTTTAACTTTTTTTTGTATGGGTGCGTCTCAATCAGATTCCTAGTTCCGTAATCAGGGCATTGATCAGGAAGTCAACCATTTCGAAGGCTGTCTCAATCAAAATCCTTTAAGTGCACGGGGAGCATCGATGCTAACTATGTTCCCTTAAAAGAGGTTCTGAAGCGTGAAACAAATGACGTGAGCCAACTCACTAGACACAATGACAGTCATCAATAGAGTCATCAGTATCCCATGTGTAGAGAGCCAGGGTCCTCCTTACTGTCCCTACCAGTGCTTGAATTCGTGAACACAATATACGGATTCACGACTTTGGAAGCTAGGGAGCTGATTGAGGCGTACCCTGTGTAAACATGCGCTAGACGGACGTCTGACCGTTGTGCCGCCTCCACATCTCGTGCTCAAGTCTCTGCTTTCTTTCCCATTCATCAGTGCTGTGGCTCAGCAGTTATTGCGTACTATAGTAACTGCAATACTATAGTAACTGTTATGTGCCTCGTGTTTTTAAAAGCAAAAACTGTGTTCTGTGTGATCATCCCCTTAAAATAGTTTTTACTAAAATGAAACTAAAGTGCTGATCTCTTCATCCAGATCGATGAAGAAAACAGCTCAGCGTTTAAAGGTCATTTTCAATGATTGACATCACAGAGTCTGATGTGTGACTGGTTTCTTACTGGTAAAAAGACAGAACGCCGTTGCTTTTGTGAACAGCACATGTGTTCATTTAAGTCGTTGTGGTAATTTTACGGTAATTTACCGGGATTGCTGTGTGAAAGGGACTATAAGCAAAATGCATATGTAGATCAGCTGTCAGCTTTCAGCATTCTAACTTACATTGAAGTCAAGGAGGGCATCCATCTGGTTCTGTATAATAGGGATGGTTTTAAGGAGCTTCTCTGTGTTCATGGTTCTCATCACTCCGTCCACCCTTAAGGAGAAGATTTTAAAATATAGGTCAAATGACATTGGGGGATCAGTGCATGGAGGTTTAGTGGATGATCCAGTGCAATGACTTCAAACATTTAACGCAAGCGCTTCAAAACTAGTGCTGCTGCACAAATCCCCTTAAATGATTTAGAACAAAAACTACAGCTAAGGCTAAAAAAATCATTGTATCGAGTGAACAATTTACTGGCCAAATGAATCACTGTTGGAGTTACATAATGCACTTAATGCAAAAGTCAGCATGCTAAAGAAAGCAGGAACTAGAAACTACCTTCAAAGTTGTATTATAAAATGTATTAAAAAAATGTCCTACCCACGCTTTACTTTCGTGAAGTCAAATGCCACCTGTCGATACGATACGGCCTTCTCATTCAGATATCGACTATACCTCCGAATGAATGTTGACATATCGTAACCTAGGAAGACACCAATAAAGATGACTGTTAAGAAATAAATTATTTAAAAAATAATAAATGAATATAATGTTATAAATATTATAAAACTAATTCAATTAATTAATGTAAAAAAATTTTTTGGAATGTTTATTAGTCAAATAGCGCAATCATATTAGAATGAAGCCTCTGTAGAGTGTGAAATAAATGTGTATAGTTCAATACTGTACCTTGTAGGCCACTTTTGTCCAGGAAATTACTGAGGTTGAATAAGGTGTTCCTTGAGGCCAAGTACTGAATAAATCGCTGGAACCAAAGTGATAAATTAAAAGATGTTTAATGCATGCAATTATTTGCAGATCTTAACTAGTAGCTTGATTAAAAAGCAGACAGATCTCCCACAGTCACGCACCTCGTTCCCATAAACCATGAGGTGGTGTGTTGTGATTAGGGACTTAAAGACCACCACCCAACTGGTGTTGGTGGTTCTCTCGAACAAAGAGTCTGCCAGCTGAGGAATGTTCACATTCATCTCATTGGTACAGTGTATCAGGTCTACAACAGAAACAGAGGTTTCCATTAACGATTGGCATTAATAACTGGGTGTACAGGCAAGAATCGAGTCAACAAAACAGACTGCAATGGTATAGAGCTTAAAATGTAATAAACAACAGGATTAGCATGCATTTATAACAAAAAAAAACAGTAAAATAATAATATGTGGAGAGTCCACATAAATAAGCATTACGCAGGAACTGTGCAGGAATTCCACAGCCCACTATTAACTGCTGGTGGACTTTGTTGATGGATGTTTATGCACTTCTGCAAATATGCTTTAGGGGAATGACATTTTTGTGGTGTAGTATTCACATAGATGCTGATGTAGTGCAGTTTCTGATGGACTTCTTCTTTCTGTGAATGAATGAGGTTGACTTCAATCGTGTGGTTGGTTGGTTTGGTGTGACACAGCTGCCTCCACAGAACTGCCAATTTTGATTCACTCCTACTCCTGAGAAACAAAGCCCTCACCACAAAAGATGTCAACTAAAATGTTTAGAATCAGATCATTTAATCTGTTCTATAGCTATAGGCCTATCTGGTGAAAGAAGTTAATCTTTGGTTGGTGGAAAGGACCATAAATAGTAACCATAATTTATGTGATATACTGTAACTTGAAGGGATCGTTTACCCACCAAAATAATGTAAAAAACGCATCATGACTTTCTTCTGTGGAACATAAAACACATTTTGAGAAAATGTCAAACAATGGATGTTTTGTCCATACAATGGAAGTCAGTGGGCAACAAAACTGATATCAACATTCTTCAAAACAGTGTATCGCTGAGATACTGTTATAGTTGTTATTCATATTTTTCATTAGTTTTTGTTAGTATGTTTTCTGTTTTTATTTTAAATACAATTATAGAAATTTTGTTGTGTTTTTGTGTCATTTTTATCAGTTAAATATATAGGTTTTTATTCATATTCCAGTTATTTTAGTTCATCAATTTAAAGCTGCAGTCCATAACTTTTTTGGGTTAAAAATTATCCAAAATAAATGTTTACACATAACCCGCCAGTGTTCAAAACTCTCTGCTTGCCTTAGCTCGATTCAAAGCGGTAAGCTTGTAATAATGTTTTTAATTCCAGTGGTACTGGTGGATTTCACCCGGAGATTCGAGCATGTCTTTGCGTCATTACGTCACATCTGTACACATAAAGAAGGAGCCCTGGCTAGAAGGCTATGTTGCGAGTGAGGATGCTGGAGGTGGAGATTTTCTAGCCTTTTCTCACTGCACTTGATATAATTAAACTTATCAATTTGATGGCGGATCCAGAAAGGTTCAAACGAAAATCACCAGTGACAACTGGAGATTCACCCGTTGTAAAATGCAAAAGACCACCATGACTTCGGAGTGGCTACGGGAAAAAAGAGACTGCAACATTGGATTCATCCGCGCTGTGCCGTGCCGAGGCACAACCCACGCAAAGATTGATAATAACTGCAATTGCAGATTTTGAACAGAGATGGCAACAAAGAGGAAAAACTACGGACTGCACCTTTAAACTAAATACAAATTAGAAATGTTACCTTAGCTTTAAGGTTTTTTATATTTTATTTCAGTTAAAGATTATTTTGTTTCAAGTAGTTTTATATGGTTTTTGTTAACTACAGTATAATAACTGCTTAAAAATATCTTCTTTTTTGTTCCAAAAAAGAAACAGTCACACAGGTTTGCAACAACATGAGTGTGAGTAAATCATGACAGAATTTTCATTTTTGGCTGAAATACTGTTCAGTTTACCTGCATTCAAATAGACCGTTGGTTAAAATTACAGAGGCATCTTTAGTTATCATAAAGTCTCAGATGAAGACAAAAAAAGAGAGAAGTTTCTACAAAAATTATTCTGTAAAAAAAAAAAGACATGAAATTCAGTTCCCTCACTAAACTAAAAGGTCAAAGCTAGTGGGGTGAAAGGTGCGAATGGGTCCAGCGGGCAGACAATTTTATTTTCCTTTTTAAAAATCCTAACTACAGTCCTTCAAACATGTCATAGCTTGTCTTATAACGCTGTAAGAACATAATGAAAGAATAGTCAGGCCTGGCTGAGACAGACGTAAATAGAGATCTATTCTGAAGCACAGACTTACTAGACTGGCACTAGACAAGCAGTTCTTAAAGGGTTAGTTCACACAAAAATGCCTAATTAACCCTTAAGACTTCCGTTCATCTTTGGAACACAAATATTGATCTTTTTGATGAAATCTAAGAGCTTTCTGTCCCTCCATTGACAGCTACGCAACTACTACTGTGACTGTGACGCTTCAAAACATTCATAAAGAGATTGTAAAACTAATCCATATGAATTGAGTGGTTTAGTCCAAATTTTCTGAAGAGACAAGATCGCTTTATATGATGAACAGATTTCATTTAGGCTTTTATTCACATATAAACATTCATCAACTCACACATCAGTTATTAAACAGAAGCTCAAGCATGTTTGCTTGACGTGCGAAAACCAATGAGGTTCATTCTCGTGTTACGCAGCACGTTTGAGCTTCCGCAAGAATCAATGAGGTTTGTTCTTGTGCATCAAGCAGGTTCGGTTGAGCTTCTGTTTATCTTCACTGATCAATGTTTATATGTGAATAAAAGCCTAAATCTGTTGGAATAAACCGTTCAAATTAGCCTGGTTAAAACCAGACCATTCTCAGTTGTAACTGAGTTATGGTCTGGCAAAGCGTCATAGACCAATCATTTCCAGAGGGGCGTCACCAACGGACGTCGCGGACAGACCTAAAACCAATCAGAGCGATGAAGGAGATGACGTATGCAGAGCGACGGAGAAACATCTCCGAGTGTTGTTCTTTGCTCGGTTTTTAACAAAAAGGAAACGTTCAAATCGCTTAAAACAGATGCGATAGCTGATTCGAACGAGTGATGTTCGACGGCGGCATCCATCTTTGTAATGTAGGCTACAAAATCTGCTTCAAAATCCCAGCGCTGTCGTCATCGTGTAAAGCCCGCCCCAACGTTTCTGATTGGTGCCTCGATTTCGACGGATTGGAAATGGGCTTGAATGAGCTCTTTGCCAGACTAACTTTCAGAGCAAATCTAAATTTGCCGGAAGTTGTCTGGGTTTTCCCAGGCTACGTTCAAATCATATGGATTAGTTTTACGAATTATTAACTTTTTTATGAACTTTTTGAAGCGTCAAATTGGTAGTTGCGTAGCTGTCAACGTAATGACAGATTTCATCAAAAAGTTCTTTATTTGCGTTTCGAAGATGAACAAAAGTCTTGCGGGTTTGGAACGACATGAGGGTGAGTAAATAATGACAGAATTTTCATTTTTGGTGAACTATCCCTTTAAAGAAGAATATACACAGCATTTACTGACATCATCTGTGGGTTTGTAACCAACTGGACATGATAATCAAATCCAAATGAACTTCTAACACAAAACACCTTCCTTACAATAACCTGTGCACAACATGTTTCTCGTGCAAGAAAAACAACAGCACTGATTTATTTCTCCCCATTGAGCATAATATGGAATTAACATTTAACCAGCATTAACCAGTATGGCAATGCAGAGGAGGTCTAAACGAGGTCGTAAACTATATTAAGAGCATTTAAAAAGCATTTAAACATTTATTAATATTATTATGGAATCAAACTTAATGGAAATACACGTATCCTTGCTTACATACAAACAACAATATTGCACATATACACAGTCCTGCTTCAATACAGCTGAAAGTGATTCAATGTCAGTTTGTCATAAATGGCCTGTATTTCCAATATTATTATCAGGAGTCTGTCTAAGCACATTAGCTTAGCACAGCCTGGGCCTGCCCATTGTACAATAGCCTAAAATCGTAGCCATAACAATCAAAGCAACAGCTGTACACACGTTCATCCTCGCAATTTCATTTTAAACACAGCTGCTGATACTTACAATCCAAGTGTTTCTTTTTAGGGCCCATTATTTCGTGCGTTGTTGCCTTGCAGACAGTTTTGGAAACGGCTGATCCAGTAACGCTATGCTGAGCAGCAGTTATCCTGTCTGTAATGCTCTGCCCAGACATTTTCAAAGCTTTCCAGCTATCAAGAATCCAATAATATGTATGATGAATATTGAAATTCAAACTGCTACTAAATAGTGTTCACAGTTCCCGGCCGGTCGACCTCCTGCCGTACGATACTTGTATACGGGGGAGACAAAGATTGGTCGGACAAGAGGAGGCAGATGGGAAGCCTTGCACACAGTTATCCGCTGCGCGAGACGATGATGAATCCAGAAATGATGTTAGCGAATATCCCGCGCGGAATTCTTACATTGTTACGGGTTTCAATCGCGCGCTGTAAAGGCTCGTGACTCATCTCTCATATCTCGGACACTAATCCCGCCGTTCAACCGCCGCCTGTTTTATTCGTGTAAGCCCGCAGGATTGAAGAGCAGCGAAGGCAAATGGCGGGCCTGTGCTGTTCCATGAGAGCTGGAGGAATATAGGACGCTGACCGCTGATGCTGCTGATCCAGGATCAGGCTGAACACCTTCATTACAGATGCACTTGGAATAAAGGGACAATCAACAATTCGTATCTTTTTCCACTTGGTGACAGTTTAAAGTTTGATATTAGTTCAATTTATATTTGAATATCTTAACATTAAAAAAAAAAAAAAAAAATATATATATATATATATATATATATATATATATATATATATATATATATATATATATATATATATATATATATATATATATATATATATTTATTTATTTATTTATATTATACATCTCAGTAATTACTAAATGCCTATAGGTAAATAGCAATTAAATGCAACAGTTCATATGTTCCTGATTTTTCAAGTGGCGGGTCCTTTGCACAATTTTTTATTAACATGTTTCCTTTTTTTAAGGCTGAACCATGCAATTTTGTTGAAGGCAGTCCTTTCAGGTGTGGTTCGAAATTCGAATATAGGTGAATATAGTGTGTGTGTGTGCGTGTGTGTGTGTGTGTGTGTGTGTGTGTGTGTGTCATTTTATATACATTGTTGCTTCTTCCATTTTTTTGCAAAATGTGTTATTGCTTATCACTTACAGTGGGTCACTCATCACTCAAGTTATATAAAATAGCCTATTATTCATATATTGATTGAAAAATCGTTAGGCATATAACTCATAGCAGGTGAAATATGAAAAGAGGACCTATATATTTGTGTATGGTAATGTACATGCAAACATGTATGTATGTCAAAAGTCAAGGTATTTATTTGTCATTTGCACAATTAACTCTGGGGAAAACTGGGGATTGAAATGCTTGTGACGAGGCTCAGACATAGGCTACAGTAATTTTAACTTGACCAAATTCACAAATTTAGTAGATATACATACAAACATAGTATATATGTATGGTATTATGTGTGTAGTGTGTGTAGGCCTATATACACACTCACTCACTGGCCACTTTATACACCTGTTCAACTGCTTGTTAAAACAAACATCTGACATGTAACAGCAACTCAATGCATTTAGGCATGTAGACATGCTCAAGATGATCTGCTGAAGTTCAAACTGAGCATCTAAATGGAGAAGAAAGGTGATTTACTACGTGACTTTGAAAGTGGCATGGTTGTTGGTGCCAGTCGGGCTGATCTATTTATTTTTAGAAACTGCTGATCGACTGTGATTTTCACGCACAACCTTAGGGTTTACAGAGAATGATCTGAAAAAGAGAAAATATCTATTGCAGTTCTGTGGGTGGAAATGCCTTGTTGATGCCAGAGGTCAGAGGAGAATGGCCACTGACCTCTGATCATGACTGGTTCGAGCTGATAGAAAGAACTCAAATAATCACTTGTTATAACCGAGGTATGCTGAAGATAATCTTTGCTCTGAACGCACAACACATCGAACCTTGAAGCAGATGGGCTAGCAGCAGACAAACGCACCGGGTGCCACTCCTGACAGCTAAGAACAGAAATCTGAGGCTAATTTACACGGGCCCACCAAAATTGGTCTGAGACCTGGTCCGATGAGTCTCATTCAGATGGTATAGGATCAGAATTTGGTGTAAACAACATTTTTTTGAACATGACAAAAGTTCACTGTACTCAAATGGCCTCCACAGATGTTGTTTAAATGGAGATTCACATCATGGATGCTCAGCTGACAAATCTGCAGCAACTGCGTTATGCTGTCATGTTAATATGGATCAAAATCTCTGAGGAATGTTTCCAGCACCTTCTTGAATCTATGCCTCCAAGAATTAAGGAAGTTCTGAAGGCAATGGGGGTCCAACTAGGGCTGGGTATCGATTCAGATGTTCCAATTCGATTCGATTTCGATTCGCAAGCTCTCAATTCAATTCTATTTCGATTCTAAATTTGAATTTTGATTCCCGATTCGATTCCTGATTTGACTCAATGAATATAGATTTAATACAAATCCTATATATAGAATTAAATAAATATTTAGAACTATATTTAAAAAAAAAGAAAAGTTTACAAGTGGTTAATTAATAAAAAGAAATTAAGAGCCACAAACCTTTATATTATAAACCTCTTTTTATTTTAGATACACTTGGGTAGGCTACATTAAAACAGAACCCAACTGTATAGTGTGTGTGTGTGTGTGTGTGTGTGTGTGTGTGTGTGTGTGTGTGTGTGTGTGTGTGTGTGCGCGCGTAGGCCTTCTTTCTACTTTTATAGTTTTATATATATATTTTACGATTATTGTCCTCAGACCTCGTTATACTGTGTGGTTTTAGTGGTGGTGAGGGATAATGTAGCCTAATGTTATAAAATTTGACAAAATGAAGAGGAATAAATCAAATGAAATGGTTAAGAATGTTGAAAATGTAGTGATCATTATTTTAATTTCAAAGAGGATTTTATTAATTTTCTCTAATAGGAAACTTCAATATGAACTTTGATGAACTAAATTGAGTTAAACACCTGAATCAATTATTGCAATATTTAATCTTCTAAATAATAATGTAGTTCAGTAGCCTACTTAAAAAAAAAAAAAGAAAAAAAAAGATTGCATGTTTGGCTATGTAACCAGCGGTATGCCTGTTAGTAATCAGTTAAAAGGATAGTTCATCAGACAGGAAATTCTGTCATTTATCCACCCTCAAGTTGTTCCAAACCTGTATGAATTTCTTTCTTCTCCTGAACACAAAAGAAGATATTTTGAAGAATGTTGGTAACCAAACAGTTGATGGACCCCATTGACTTCCATAGTATTTTCCCAATTTCCCAGGTTTGGAACAACTTTAGGGTGAGTAAATGACGACAGAATTTTAATTTTTAGGTGAACTATCCCCAAGCACTCACAGCTATGCGCCACTTGATCTGAACACTAGAGGGCGCGGTCGAAGCATTATGCCGATGGCACCGGAGATGCGCCTGTGATGCTACATTTAAAGATCATTTTCTCTCCCTTTTATGTGAGAGATAAAACATAGGCCTATTTATGTTTAATTTATAATTAGTTTAAAACATTGCGATCTATGAAACGTTTTTTTAAATGACTAAACCAATGAGTTTTAATCATATAGCCCACGGAACAACAAAACCGTTCTTAATTTCTTTCCTTCTGAGCAATGAGCAGCTGATGAGAAGGCCTAATGACTTCAATTGAAATAATGTAATTACATAAATTTACATTTAATTTAAATAAAATCACATTCCGTTTTAGCAGCCTATTCACTCATGCTTTTCCCCTCTTGTTGAGAACTATTTTGTGATTTAATTATACAAGCATCTTAACAAATAAAACTGTTCTATACCTTTAATAAATAAATAGCCTACTTTTGCTTCAAAAAACAAAACATAATAATATTGTAACATAGGGTCCAACATCAGTAAGCTTGGATGACCTATAGCTGCATCGCTTGTCTTCCTTTGAAACTTTAGTCACATTTCAAAGGTATTATAATTTTAATACAAACAAAACCTGAATGACTAAAGTCCCTTGCTATCAGTTGTTTCGGATAGTTTTCACTCTGTGTGAGTGGGCCAAGTAAGTGTAGTGTACATAACTTTAAAAAATAGATAGCCTATAAAAATAAAGGTTCCAAAATGGGGTTTTCACAGCAATGCCAAGAACCGTTTTTGGTTCAAAGTTCTGTCATGAAACTCTAGATGGTTCAGGCTGATAGGTCCTTAACTCAATCTGCTTGCAATTATTCTCTATTGGGCACAGCTGATTGGTTCCTGCTGTATCAGTAGCCAATGAGCTCGCTGCTCAACCTTCAAATACTTGGTCAGCATTTTCTAGCAGTTGCAGCGCACTTTCAGAAACCCTCCACCTTCCCCAGCTCCACCTTTATAGTTCTACTACGGGCAATTCATGTACACTATATTGTACCGCAGCAGCATGTCTTGCTCACAGCAGCGTATCGTGTATGTATTGGCAGTAGCAAGTCCTGTACTTTCTCTGTATTCCTGTACTTTTCTTTCATTATTATGCAATCAAATTAGAGGATGTTTATTTCTGTATCCGGTTGATCTGAGTATAAAAATGTATCTGAAGAGGATGTGAACTGCTTGAGTTATTATACTGTGTGCGCTGTATATTCTTATATATATTTTTACACCTGTGCTGTGTAAATATGTAACTTTGCAATTTTAACTCAGAGAACGATTAAATGATAAACACTACAAATGATTGTATGAGAATATAGGCTACGGTGTCCTCTCAGCTCTGACCTCACCAGCTGCTCAGAACATCAATCACTAAAAACAATGTCATCTAATCCTTCACGATGAATCAGAGCACATGGCCTCCTCACTACTGTACATCTGGGTCATTCCATGGGCGGGTGTTGTAAAATACAGTAGATGGTTGTGGTTTCAGGATTTATTCTTCATTTCAGGTTAAAACGGCCATTTGATCCCATTTTGCCTGAATAGTAGCCCTGTCAAATATATTTGATTTCAGCACGGTTCACTGCAAGATTCTTCATATCCATCCCCTATGAAATTATTGAAACCTTTTTGTGACAATTAGCATCTCAACAAATTGAATAGGGCCTAGGAAATTATATTGTGGTCATATTATATTATACATGATTAATTAAATAAATATTATTAATTTTCACAGCATTCTAGTAAATCATTGGGGCCTTTTTTATTATAGATTGTATTATTATATTATTTAGGATTCCAGGCTAAAAAAAAATGTAAGGCTTACACCGTAAGTGACATGAACAATTGCAATTATTTGTATGTAATTAGAGTATATATTTTAACAACCTGCTTGCAATCAATAAACACTACTGTTCTAAGGTTTGCGGTCAGTAATATTTTTGTTTGTATGGTTTTTTTTTTAAAGACATTAATGCTTTTATTCAGCAAGTACTCTTGTCCGCTTTTAAAAAAAGAATTATTGCTGCATTTTAGTACATTTTAATACATCTCACTGTTAGTAAAATATGAACTGATTAAATGAGAGTATTAGACATGTTAGCTATTATCTATTAGCTGCTATTTAATGTAAAAAATGGGCAGTTTGTGATTGTATCTTCATTTAGTGCATCAGTGTGTCTGGTTGAGTGAAGTGCGAGGAACCGGGAGGCCAGAGTGACAATAACAGCACACTCGCTATCAACCCTGATGGACTGACAGAGAGAATAGGCCCTTTAGTCACTTCAGCCGCCGATGAAAACATAATTCCTGCCTTCAGTCCCACACTGAGTTCAGACATTATTGAGCGATGACAGAGACAGATCAAGCCATGAGGAGACGAGTGGGAAATCGTAAAAGCGGCTCATGTTTCTGCCTCCATAAAAAAGATTTGTTCAGCGCATTGAGATTGTGATGGATTTTCCCATGTTGTCCAGGACAGCTCTTTTTGTTTAAGGCTTCTGATAATGGCTCATTGTTTTGGCTGCAGTAGAGGCCCGTGGTGCGGGCGGCCCTGTGGAGATGCCAGGCTGCCCATTCACTCACCGGCAGCAGGCCGAAACGCATGGAGCGCAGCTCACCTGCATCAGGGGACTGAGGTAATGGGGGGATCTCAACACTTTATGCCATCATATTGTTAAGACAATAAACATTACTGTTATTCCAGTCGTTATTTTAGTCATGACTGAAGTTTTGATATGGCAGAAAAATGTCTGTTTTCCTTCCTTTCCAGGTGTTGAAATGGAGTGGATATGTGTTCCTCTTCTGCTTTTCAGTGGGATTCATTTAGCTTTTACACAATTCAATGGATTCAACTGTGATCCAAACCACCACAGCAGATTCCCTGGTAAGAAATTGAGAGCCAGAATGTATATGTTGCAGAATGTAAACAATAATACACTACTGTTAAAAAGTTTGGGGTCAGTAAGATTTCAGAAGTTTAGGGTCAGTAAAAAAATTAATACTTTGCAGTAAGGACGCATTAAATTGTTCGAAAGTTGACAATAAAGACATTTATTATGTTACGGGGGAAAAATAAAAACTGTTTGACATTTGACAAAAAAACATTTGTATATCATTTAATAATAATAATCAGCATATTAGAATGGTTTCTGAAGGATCATGTGACACTGAAGATTGGAGAAATGATGCTGAAAAATCTGCTTTACCATCAAAGGAATAAATTACATTTTACATTGTAATAATATTTCACAATATTACTGTTTACTACTGTATTTTTTTATTCAGCCATGATGAGCATTAGAGATTTCTTTCAAAAAATAAAAAAATCTTACTGACCCCAAACTTTTAAACAGTAGTTTAAATAAATCACTTAAAAGAAAAATTCAAAACAATAAAAACTATTTATTGTTCTATATAAATAATTTGTTTATTAATTCCTTATATTAGAGCATTCTTTTATTTTATATAGTGGGGTCCAAAAGATGGATTCTGCACTGGAAATCTGGGATTTACAATTTAATTTAAACCTGGACATTTTAGGAATTTGAAAATTTTTCAAAATTAGAAAAATATGAAAAATTAATTTGAGACATCGAATTGAAATGAGAAATGTTATGATGTAAAATGAATAAGTATTTCTAGCTCCAAAAGGTCAGAGATGTTCTTGCTTGTGGAGTTCAGGGAGCTTGTCATTAAAGCAAACACAAGATTTTATTTAATTCATAGTTATTCATTGCACTTAAATTGTCATGCTGATAATATAATAATAAACCCCACTGTGGAGATGCCATATCATTTATTTACTTGTTATGTTGTCTTTCCCTCAAGGCGACAGAGATATCAGTGTATACTGTGGTGTTCAGACAATCACACTAAAGATTAACCTCTGTCCTGTGCTGTACTCTGGATACACTGATGCCGACCTGGCACTGAACGGACGTCATGGAGAAGTCCATTGCCGAGGCTTCATAAACAACAACACTTTCCCCACAGCTGTGCTCTTCAGTATCAGCCTGAGCACACTGGAGGCCTGTGGGAACACGCTGGTGGTAAGGGATGCATTCACTTACACACGTATCATGGTTTTATTGGGGGGGGGGGTATGTACTATGTGAATACCATGGTGTATGAATAATTATGCAATACCATTGAACTGTGTATCTCAACTTCCACCAGCTTCACTGGTGGCTATTCCAGAAGCTATTCTGTTTGTTTTAATACTTGTATTAGGCTACATGTTGCGTCCCGTTGCTCAAAAGGGATGCAACAAATGGTGGCTCATCCGGGATTTAAACATAACATGTTTTAACCCGTGGTTTCACAGACAAGCCTTAAGATTAGTCCCAGACTAAAATGCATGTTTGAGCTGTTTTAACTGAAACATCTTGCACTGATATATCTTAAAATAGGTCAGTGCCATTGTTTTGTCTCACACCAATGTTTTTTTTCTAAGGCATGTTTATAAAAGCTATTTTAATGTCCTAATTGAAGGCCTAATCCTGGCTTAATCTAAGCCCTGTCTGTGAAACCGGCATAATTTTTAACCTCAAGAACAAAACAATTAGATTTTCCTAGTGAAAATAAGATTTACATTTAGGTAACATATTTAAATCTATCTGTGTTCAGGTTTCTACAACTCAAGGTTTCAATGCTTATGGGAACATCTCTATGGTGCAGATGGGGAATATATCGGGCTACATTGACACCCCAGACCCTCCAACTGTCATCAGTTACCTGCCAGGTCTGCAGTATAAATTCAGCTGTAGTTATCCTCTGGAGTACCTGCTCAACAACAGCCAGCTGGCATCGTGAGTCAGTTATTTCTGACGTGACAACCTACTTCCCTCTTCTATGGTTCTACAACTATTTAAGTCCAAGTAAAAAGTGATTTGCTGATATTTTCTGCAGTGAATACACAGTGATAATGTCTTGTTCTGATCTCAACCTCCTTTACCAGCTCATCTGCTGCGATATCAGTGAAAGACAACAATGGCACTTTCCTGAGCACACTCAGTTTGGTGCTTTACAATGTGAGTGATCTCTGTAGATATAAATAAATTTTAAAGTACGGGTTTGTAAAGCAATAAAATAAATATTTATCATACATTTGTTGTTCCAAAACTATATTGTCATGAGATCACAGTTAATTAGCTGTTACAACGTTTTAAAAAAAATCTTCTTTTATTAAATTGTATTTATTAAAAATTGTACTGTTTATGATTGTATAGTAAAGATTAATGAAAATATTTCAAATTAAATTATAGTATTTGGCTTAAGACTATAAACAATTTTCCCTTAGGATCTATTAATGTCACTTTCATATTGTAAATGTGTATGTAGTTCTCAAAGTTAAATTAAAACGTAAAAATGGCATGTTTGTGTAATGAAGAATGGCTTAGACCGCCATTACAGTATAGCTAATTTTCTTTCTCATATTTTAAAGGATTCAACATTCAATCAGTTGATCTCTATACCAATGTCTGGCCTGTCCTTGAAAACTCGTGTGTTTGCTGCAGTTAAAGCTACAAATCTGGACAGGAGGTATATCATGCAGAGAAATTAAATCTTATTAAAACACACTATTCATTTTATTTTTTTTATAAAATGATTTCATATCATAATGTTTTAGTTATCTTGTGTAAAGACAGGTTACTAGAATAAATTGTGACATAGTACTAGTAGTGTGAGATTTTGTGAGGAAAAATGAATTAAAATATTCTCTTCTTGGGTAACTATTCAGATCCTGAGCCCCTATTAACTAATTCTTTTTACTTCTTGAGATTAGAGATTCAATTCCCATTAATAGCAGAAATGACTGTGTTTTCCCCACAGGTGGAATGTTCTGATGGATCACTGTTACGCCACCCCCTCTGGGAACCCTAATGATGAGATACGCTATGACCTTTTCTTTGGGTAATTTAGTATTTTCTGAAATTATGTGCGCATTAACTCGGTGAGTCCTCATTACCTGCTCAACTGACTACTATTCAATGCACAAAGGCCTTTTAGAGGAAATGATTTGTGTGTGTGTATGAGTGTGTGCGCGTTTGCGTTAGTGTTTGTTTGGGTATAACTGAAGATAATCAGTTTATCAGCAGATCTGATGTTTAAAGAGGCCTTATTTTTGGTGGTGGGGGTTTAAATAGGTGCTACAAGGATCCACAGACAACTGTTTTTGAGAATGGAAAAAGTCAAATGGGCCGCTTTGCATTTGAAGTCTTCCGTTTTGTGAAACATAAGAACCAGAAGATGTCCACTGTGTTTCTGCATTGTGTGACAAAGCTGTGTCGAGCAGATGACTGTGGAATACTATTGCCGGTAAACAGTCTTAATGCTGAAATATTTTATGGTTAATAATGTATTTTAGGTGTCTTAACTGAATGAGAGCACTGACTGTAATACCTCTCGTGGCAGATCTGTGGAAATCGCAGGAGGAGAGACACTGTGGATGAGAATGCAGTATCAGGTTCATCCTCAGGGGATGCCGTCATAACCGCAGGTCCCATAATCACTAGGAGTGGTAAGAGCCCTCAATCTCAGCTTTATAGTCTGTTTCATGCACTGAAAAAAAGACAAATAAGATTTACTTACTTTCTACGTTTTTGTTGGTGTTATAAGTAAATCATATTTAACTATTAATGGTCTAAAAGTAAGTAAAATCTTGTGCTGCTTAATATTTTTCTGGGACTGTGATACATTTTTTTCAGGATTCTTTAATGGATGGAAAGTTCAGCATTTATTTGAAATAGAAATCTTTTGTAACATTATTTAATGTCCTGGCTGAAGTATAAATAAAGAAAAAAAGACTTACATTTTGAATGATAGTGTATATACAAACGTTGAATAGTAATATTTCAAACAGTCATATAAAGCATATATTTTCATTTCTGTGAGACAACATCAGCTTATAATATATGTCTGAGACACAAGAGATGCAGACAATCTCACAGACCTCAACATTTGGTACACAAGGAATGATAACACCAACAATCAATAAATAATTTTTTCTAAGCGTGACAACAAAATCAATAACATGGTGTAAACCAAACTGTAAAACCATGCCACCTAGTTAATTATTCATGCCGCAGTGCATGCTGGAAGTAGATTTACATCTTTTTACACCTTTGTATCTATTTTTCCTCTCAATAACAAAATAAACACTACGAATTGACAGCAGTGAGAAAACAGCAGTTAAAGGATTAGTTCACTTTTAAAAAAACTTTTGCTAATAATTTACTCACCCCCATGCCATCCAAGATGTCCATGTCTTTCTTTCTTCAGTCGAAAAGAAATTAAGGTTTTTGATGAAAACATTCCAGGATTTTTCTCCATATAATGCACTTTGCTGGGCACCAAACGGTTCAAAGTCCAAAAGACAGTTTCAGTGCAAACTGCAAACTGTTCAAAGGGCTTTAAACGATTCCAGACGATGAATAAGGGTCTTATCAAGCGAAACGATCGGTCATTTCAAAAATAAATAACAAAGTTTAAGTTTAATAATGTCAAATGCTCGCCTTGCTCTGTTCTGTGATGCACGTTCGTGACTCTCCTGTTCGAACTCGTTCATCAAAATGAACAAATCTTTTTTCGAGTCATTTGGTTCATTTAACGAACGAAATGAACGAATTGACTCGGAAAAAGGTTCGTTCATTTTGATGGACGAGTTCGAACAGGAGAGTCACACAGAACAAGGCAAGGCGAGCATTTGAGCTTATAAAACTTAAACTTTGTTATTTATTTTTTAAATGAACGATCGTTTCGCTTGATAAGACCCTTATTCATCGTCTGGTGTCGTTTAAAGCCATTTGAACAGTTTGCAGTTTGCACTGAAACTGTCTTTTGGACCTTGAACCGTTTGGTGCCCAGCAAAGTGCATTATATGGAGAAAAATCCTGGAATGTTTTCATCAAAAACCTTAATTTCTTTTCGACTGAAGAAAGAAAGACATGGACATCTTGGATGACATGAGGGTGAGTAAATTATCAGCAAAAGTTTTTTTAAAAGTGAACTAATCCTTTAAGAAAGCACCTGATTATAGCAATGTGGATATATTTTCACAAGCTATCATGTTGAAAGATGAGGTAAATACAATTACACTGTTATGATAGTTTGAAAATAAAGTACACTCTAAAAAATACTGGGTTGTTTTAACCCAGCTTTGGGTCAAATATGGACAAACCCAAATGTTGGGTTAAAAATGTCATTTAAAAATGTAAACCAATGGTTAGGTTTGTCCATATTTGACCCAAAGTTTGGTTGAAACAACCCAGGATTTTTAGAGTGTATGTTTGAAACTATAGACTATAACGTGTGTAAACGTTACATCGTTTTGATTTTCCCGACGAAACCGACCCGAGTCCTTCACATAAAACATCAATCTACAGGCTTTCATAGACAATCTAAGAAGTCGGGGAAGGTCTCGTTTTAGTTTAAGTTTCATTACAAGCTGTTCACAGATTGGCAAAACAAAAAGTGATTAATACATGATTCGTACACATATCACTTTTAAATTATGAAATAATTTAAGCTTTATTTATGTACATCTTGTGTGTTTTCTGCAGATGAAACTCCAACCAACAACTCGCATCCCGGTAAGATTCTTTTTTAGGAGGTCAAGAAAGTGTAACTAGCCTGCTAAATGTTTTTCATTAGTAGACGTCCCCCCCCCCCCCCCCCCCCCCCCCTGCACACACACACACACACACACACACACACACACCACCGTGTCCTTTCTGTGAGACATCAGCTTTGTTTTCACAGTGAAACAATGGACACCAGTGTCAAATTCTGCAAATGAGATCCATGCAACCGTGGTACCCATTTACAGAACCATCTTGTCTGTGTTTTTGACCCCCATTCCACTCAACCCCATTCACCCCCACAAACCTCTGCTTACCCCCATTCACCCCTCTCTGTGCTTCTGCAGTGAGCAGTTCCTCCAAGCACCTGAATGCTGTAACCAGTGCCTTGATATCGGGTTTGGTTGTGCTGGGTGTGACGAGCCTGGGTCTCTTCATGCTCTCCCTCAGGCTGCTCAGGAAGCCCAGCCCTTCTAGTCTGACAGGGGCCTGGAACCCCAGCTTCAGATGACCTTCATTCTTGGACCATGAGAGCATTGAATTCTGTCAACAATATTTGGTCATATTCCTATCATTGCATTTTAATCAGATCCTCAGTGCTGCTTTCTTATGTCCCAAAATTGGCATTGGGCTGCTTTTACAAACATGTTTCCCTATTTGATAATAAATGAATCTAATAGTCCCTAATAATATCAATGTTGAAAACAGTTGTTCTGCTTAATATTTCTTTGATGAACAGAAAATTCAAAAGAACAGCATTTGTTTGAAAGAAATCTTTTGTAACATTATAAATGTATTTACTGTCACTTTTTTGATCAATTCCTTGCTGAAGAAAAGTATAATTTTTTCTTCTTTATAAAAAATCTTACTGACTCCAAAATGTTAGTGTGTGTATATATATAAATGTACATTTTAAAATACCTCAGTTTGTTACTTTCTGTTTCAGGGTCTGTGATCCTTTATGTCTTGAAGTGCAGAGCACAAAATAAATGTAGATTGTTCATGATTGCAGACAATTTGCTTTATGATTTTTTTGTTGATCTTATTATGATCATATTATGACTGATGTTTTAGAGAGGTCTTAAATAAATATTCCTGGTTAAATATTAGTTGACAGCAACAGATTAGATTGAGTACTACATAATACAATATTGTGCAATGTTGTGCATTTTCTATTTTTACAAACAGAGGGAAGAAAACACCTTTTTTTGTTGTAATAAACAGCATGCCACAGATCCTGTTAACACCTGGACAGTTTTGTTCATTTGTTTTTGATATAGTACAGTTTAAATTATTTTTAGACGTATATTTAATGGTATGTTTTTTGCACAATGTGCCATTATAACCTGTTTCACATTTATTTTAGCTTTTTTATTCAAATTGTATATATGTACAACCTGAGATTTTGTCAACTGCATGTAATGGACATTTTTAATATGCGATAATATAAAAATGTATCCGAATTTTGCTCCTTTTTGGATAATTTATCAGCATTTTTATCAGTTTTCAACATATTCTTTGTGTACCTAATATCGCACAGCCTTTTTTTATTCAGCCACAAGAAATGACATTTGACAAAGACACAAACCACCCATTTAATTCCCACAGTGCCACCGTATAGATCTCCACAATCTGCATCATTTTTCAACATCCCCGATTACTGCCAGTCAAAAGCCAGAAAATATCTGATCTAGTGCTTCCCCCTCTCACTTCTTATCTTAACAAAACAAGAGCAAAGACCTCAGCTAACATATTTAACTGACTACATCAAGGCCAGCATCATATTATGATGAGGTCTGTAACATTTCCCATGGTTTTGTGTCGTTGACAATAGAAGAAGGTCAACACCCAACACTCTGATTTGACTCGAATCAGAAAATTGTTGTCCTTCCCAGGTAGCTCAGCTGACAGGTTCATATTACAATTCCATTGGTATTTTCTGTGTTCTGTGTATTTTTCTGTCTCATTTTCACATTAAACGCAACCCAATTTATACCACCAATTGGCCAGACACAAATTTCACCTCATTCGCTGTTGACATGCCATCAGGGCCTGAAGTTAACTTTTTTGGCCACCAGCCACTGTGGCAGGTGGATATCAAAATTCACCTGCCACAGAGACTTTTTACCAGCCTTTTTTTTTTTGCCTCATAGCCTAAAGGTGAAAAACGGGAATTTCACAATATTGTTCTTTAACTTGTACACATTTAAGTGCTGTCAAGTTATTAACGAAATCAATATAAGTAATAATAACTCTTAGAATATACATTTTAAAAAAATCTTTTTATATATTGATTTTGACACACACACGCACAACAGATCTATAGACTTACCGCAGCTCGTATGTAAACAAATCACCCGCGGCTGTGTCGATGGCTGATTTAGTCACGTAGACAGCTAGGTCCTGACAGCTTTTAGTTACAGCGTTCAGGAACCGTTAAGCTGAACTAAATTAATATTATTACTGGTAAATTTACCGGGTACCGGACATTTTCTCACCGGTTCCCAACTCCCAACATGTACTACATTTGCACACGCACACATCTGTGCAACTGTCATTGTTCTGGAGCCTACGTCAGCGTTACATTATCTCATCCCATCTCACCAACAGTTTAATACTCGCACATCCAAACGTAGTCAGAATAGGGCCTCATCTTCTTTCTGATCGTATCATGAACATTACGAAACAACAGTCGCTGTCATAAATCAGCCGCTCACGAACCTTGCCGTTGTCGCCAATTGACCACTTTGTATTAAAATGTCTTCTTTTACTTTTCTTTGACTCATCCTCATCTTTTTGATGGTTGTTTGTTTCAGCTGGCCTTTTTACCCCAGTAATGTGCCGCCACATTATAGCTAAGGTCCAACGCAATGAAAATGAAAACGTAAAAAAAAAAACCTAATGAATCACTCAATTCTCATTGGCTACCTGCCAATGTGGCAGGTAGATTGACAGTGTTACCCGCCAATAGCAAAATTCACCCGCATTTGGCAGGTGGTCGGGTGTTAATTTCAGGCCCTGCATGCCATAGATAGCACAACAAGAATTCAGAAATGATTTTGCAAGTTTTGAAACTCTAGTATTTTTATGGAAACTTTACTATTCGAAACTATTCCGAATTACTAAGTGATTGTTAATTTATGCTCAACACTATTAAAAGGAAAGTTAACCCAAAATTAAACAATTTGTCATCATTTACTCACCCTCATATTGTTCCAAACTATGATTTTTTTTCTTTTTCTCAAAGTCTATATATTTTGAAGTATATAGTTTCAACTGGTTTTCTCCATGTATAATGAAAAGTCAGTATAGAGTCCAATGTTGCTGTGGACCCCATTGCCTTTCATTGGACAAAGAAAACAGAAAAAAATGTAAATAATCTTTTACTTAACTTACTGACTTAATACTTTATTTGTCCCTTTAAGTGAAAATTTACCCATATCAATAACAATCACAGTTGTGTCCTTTGCACTAGAGTTCAACAGCCATGTAGCCAAATTAACAAAATCATTTTTATACCGGTTATATCTAAGCCTTGGGATACGAAAACGTCGACCAGATGGAAGTGGTTCGAATTCGGGATAAAGCATTCGAACCACTTCCATCTGGTCGATGTTTTCGTATCCCAAGGTTAAGATATAACTGCTATAAAATAAAATAAAAATTTGTTCCACAAAGAATTCTTCAGCATATCCCTTTGACAATCATTGTCACAACCATCAAATAGGTTATTATGAAACATCACTACATGTGTGATTTCATGCAGTGTCCATCAAGACTTTCAGGTAACCTCCTAAAAGGTCAGAGGTTACACTGACAGACTTGTACTTTTAGATTCAAAGAGAAGATGAGACCTATTGTGTGCTTCTTCAATGGAATTTGTACTTAGTTCATTAAATTACATGTTGATATGTTTCAGGATGTACAAAATGACAAAGACAGTGGTCATTGTTTATGGTCTAACTTTAAAGGTGATGTGTAAGGTTTCAAGTTTTGCCTCAAGCTAATGGCACCTTATCCACAAAAGTGAATTGTTCTGGAGAACCCAAACAGCCATACCAAATGGCAAATGACCTTGTTTTGTTCCAATCCAGCGGAAACTAACTTTTTTCTGCACACACACACATAGGCCTATATATATAAAGCACAAACTGAAGCCTGTCAGAGGTAATCCAACAGTGACTTTGAGACGATAACGAATCTTTAGCAGTAAGGATAACTTCAGGAGCTCTTCAAGATTTTCTCTGGGGTGCTGAGAGTCATTTGAAGGTTATTTTTGGACATTGATATAGAGCAGATCTGACATGGCTCTACTCGGCCTCTTGATTTTGGGCGCGCTGGTTCAAGGCCACCTGGCTCTTACTGTTAGTGAGTGTGGAACTTCTCTCAGGCGTCCAGGTAATACCCTGCATTTTTTTGTCCTCAATGATTATTGTGGGCTAATTGCTTTTAAACAAACTAAAATAATTGATCAGTGTTATAAGAAATAGCCTACATCAGGGAGCTTGTCTTTGTTTTACAGAGTACACCGACATCGCAGTGTATTGTGGGACTGAATCTATAAATTTGGCAATCCAGGTTTGCCCGGTTATTTACACTGGCTATAACGAGTCATTGTTGATTTTGAATCAAATGGCAAATGACCCGTTGTGTCGGGGAACACTGGATGCGACTGCGACTCCTCCGGTCGTGCGCTTCACCTTTCCGCTTAGACAATTGGACGCCTGTGGCAGCATCTTCCGCGTGAGTATTACTGCATCTTAAACTGCATTGATGATTAAGTCTTCTATGATGATTAAGAAGTGCCCAAGCCTGCAAACCATTGTGGTTACCAACAGGGGGCAGTGTTACTCCTACTCTCATTAAAG